GTGTGTGTGCACAGTCTGTGGAGTGGGGCCTGTGACAGATTTCTGAAGGAGTAAGAAGCAAGGACTCCTGGCTCTCCCAACACTAACCATCGCCAAACCCATGGGTGCCTGCTGCCCTGGGAGAAAGTCCTGCCCACAGACTGAGAGAACACAGTGGGGCTGTCATGGAGACAGGCATCTCCTCTCCAGGGATGGAATCTCCGCTGAGCATCTATGGGCCCATAGCTGTGAGGCCAACACTCTTTATCTATTTCTCTGTAATGTAATAGAGGACCATTATAATCCACAGTGGTCACTTGACAGGTGGGGAAACAGGCCCACAGGAGTGATGGCTCCTGAGACAGATGATACAGCTTGTGGAGGAAGAGCTGGGATTCAATCCCCAGGTGAGACTCCTGCCTCTTCATCCCCCTTCTATGTGAGTAACCTTGAAGTCGGCTCTTCCTGCCGACCATAAGAAGTCAGGGCATGCTTTTACCCTACAGCAGTGCTCAGTTAAATTCAGAGTCCCCAAGGGTCACATCTGGCATTTGCAAGTTGGGAGGCCTGCATAAGTATTTTGCATATAATTTGCATAATGGATGCATCTGGCTTGCATGTGTTCACATGGAGACCCCATCAGCACTGCACAGTGCCAAAGCCATTTCTAAGCCACTCTCACTCCGTGGAAGTTTACAGAGTCCGGGTTTCATGATTTGTGGGTTTTCTCCCTGGTCCTTACCTCTGGGCTATACAGCTACCACTCTGGGTCCTGAGCAAGTGACGTTTGTTTAACTAGAAAGCACTACTGCAAGCTGCTGCCCCGGAGACTTGTGTAGCTCTGACAGTCCCCCTTTTTGATGGTGCATGCGTAGTTCAAATGGGTTGTGATGCTGGACAAAGAACCTTGTTACAAAAAGCCTTTAACAGGAAGGTCCAGGTGTGAGCGTGCAGAAAAAAGAGACTGGGAGGGGGTGGTGAGCACGGATGGAGTTCTGGATAAAGAACCCACACCTTCGTGTAGGTGCCTCCACGCTTGGCTTGGGGGAGCACAGGCCTTGCCTCTGTGAGCAGCAGGGGCTCATCTGCAGCAGTGAGGACTCCTGCCAGAAAGCTGGCAGAGTCTGAGCATTCTATTTCTGTCTCTTTCGGAAGAGCTCATTCCATAAACTGTGGCTTTCCGCAATCTTAGGTGATGATCTCTGGATAAACAAGGAGCCATATACCCCGGGTGAGACAGAAGAGTCTGGAAAGAAGACAGGGACTCACTTCTCAGGAGGGTCCGGGGACAGAGAAAGGGTGGGTCTAAAGTGCACAGCATGCCAGCATCGGGAGCCCCAGACTCACAGAGCCCAGGTAAACCTCACTCTGCTTCCTCCTAGGATCCATTCTCTTTTCCTCTGCCCCAGGAGGCCCCAGGAGGCCCCAGGAGGAAGCAGGGCAGCTCCATTGTTCAGCAGACGGTCTCACCCACCCCTCCCTCTCTCCCACTGAAGCGTTCTAAGCGTTAACTCCTGCGTCTGTCTCCGATGCTGGGGTCATCCTGATAGCATCCTTGGGTGTGCGTGCCTATTACCAGAACTATAGCGGTAGAACCCTGTGGAGTGTTCATGTCTCCGTTAGACAGTGCGGCTAACTGTGTCTGGAGGAGCCCGAGCATGTCGTGTGAACGGAAACTGTGCTTCTGCATGTGGTGCCTCTGGAGTCTCCATCCAGGTGGAGACATTCCCATCTGAGTCAGGGAGGATGACTGTCGGCCTCCCTCTTCTGCCTCTGGCCTTCCTAGGCTTCCTGTCTGGCAGATGCAATGTGGCCTCAGCATCCACAGGGAGACCCCGGTCTCTGGCTGCATCCATCCCAGCCCCTGTGCACCTCCCTGTGCTGCAGTCCTCCTCTTCTTCCTCCTCCACTGGGATGGGGCCTGGGCCCTGGCTCCCCAAACTGTTCCAATTAAAGAAGGAGCCTGTTTTTTTATGTCAGCCACCTGGGGAGGGGAAGTGAGACCCATCTGTCCTTCTAGCCCCCTGTTACATGGACATTTTCAAGTTCAAACAGGGTCCAGCCTCCTTCCTGTGAGTTGTGGGCCCCACATCTGGGGCTGGAGAAGGGAGTGAGAGGAAGGGGTGGGACCCTTTGGAAAAAGATCACAGATTCTGGGGTGGGGGAGTTTTCTCCCAGAGCCAGCTGAGCGGTGCTGCCAAGCAGTCAGAAGCCAGGCGGGTGAGCAACTGGGCTCTGTTCATTTGCCCCTCAGATGTCTCACTTTGTGAAAAGCAGGAAGTCAGTGGCTTCAAGCGCATGAGTGCCCTCTCCATGTAAAATGGCTCCTAACATCTCTGGTAAATGTGAGGGGTTGGGTGTATCCAGGGTTGCCTGAGCCATTCAAGCAAGCTCAAATGATGGGTTGTTAGAAGCATATCGAGGAAGCCATGGCTTGTCATCAAATGGCTATATATTTTCTATGCACTGTAACCTTCTCTCTAGGCTGCTCTCACTTCCTCCTAACTTGCACAGAGCTGTGGCCTTACCATGCCCTGGTGTGTCTTCTCACCTCCAAAAGCCACTGCAGTGGCTTGACTAGAACCCCATCCTGCTAAAACTTAGTTCCACCAGAAACCCAGATTGTGACCTTATTTGGAAGTAGGGTCTTTGCAGATATATATTTACTTAAGATGAAGCTGCTCAATGGCTGCTCTCCTTATAAGAACACAGAAACACAGAAGAGGGCTGTGTGAAGACCAGGAGAAGGCACATGGATGCAAAAACAAGAGATGAGAGTGCTGCAGACGTGAGTCAGAGATCACTCAGGTCCACCAGAAGCTGAGGCGAGAGGAAGGATTCCTCCCTAGAGGCACAGCCCACCCAGGTAATACTTCGATTCTGGACACTCAGCCTCCAGAAATATGGGACAATAAATTGTTGTCATTTCTAAGAAGTTTTTGTTAAATTTATTGTCTTATTTTATATGTGTGGTGTTTTGCTTGCCAGTATGTCTGAACCACAGTGTGTGCCTAGGCCTGGAGGAGGCCAGAAGAGGACATTGGAGTTAACAGACACGTGTGAACAACCGTATGAGTGCTGGGAAGCAAACCTGGGCCCTCTGGAAGAGGACCCCTGCTGTTAACTACCAAACCTTCTCTCCAGAAAGAAATGCTGTTATTTCTCCACTACTTGAATTGTTAGTTACGATGGCAATCATAGAAACTAAAACACTCACACCTTGCAGGGGATTCCAGTCACCTGTGTTCCACCATTACCTGGGTCAGGAGAAAGGACCAGCTGGCTTAGGTCAGGTGTCTGCTCTGAGGAATCAGCGGGAGAGGGCAGAACATAGGTGTGGTTCAGAACTGCTCTTTCCAGCATCCTTGATAACATCGCCTTCCCTAAATGTGCTTATTCATACCTCAGTTACTTTTTAAAAGGTATTTCTTTTATTTGTGTAATTATGTTGCCTGCCTGTTTGCCGTGTGCCACATGCATGCCTGGTGCCCAGAGCCCCCAGAAGAGGGTGTCGGGTCCTCCAGAACTGTCCTCTGCAAGAGCCACAAGTGCCCGCTAGCTGCTGAACCATCTCTCCGGTCCCTCGAAGTTACTTTAGAAGAAACTGGAGTTGGGGAGACAGCTCAGTCAGTGGAATGATTGCCGTGTAAGCATGAAGAACTGAATTTGATTCTTTTTTTTTTTTAAGTTTAATAAAATAAAGAAAAACCAGCCAGGCATGAGGGCAAGCCCTTGTAAACCTTGGCGTGGTGAAATTGGGATCACCGGCCAGCTAGCCTAGCCTACTTGACAGACCCAGAAGAGTAAGCAAGCCTGTGGATGGTACCTGAGAAACATCACCTTAGCTTGGCCTCTGCTTCCATGTACATGTGAACACATATTCATGAGCACCCCCTCAAGCAGGGGGCAGGGACCTCCAAGCAGCCCCTGTATTCCACTGGTGCAGATTCAGAGGGCTGCCGTCCCGTGGGGATGAGACAACGCCAGAGGAAAGTGGTCCTCCTAAATGACAGAATTCAAAAGGCTTCCTGCGGGGTAGATGTAGGCAGTTAAAGAGATGATGTCCAATTAAGAACGACCATATATAGACCAACTCCTAGGTTACAAGAGTCATGTTCATAATGAAACATGCAGGAAGCCCGGCTTAACGTAGTTTCTTATGAGGATGTCCAAGCAATATTCTTTGACTAAAAGCTAATAATGAACCAGACACCACACTGTGGCCCACCTGATTAAAAGCTTTTATTGGAGACAGGGGGGTTGGGGGGGAGGGGTTGGTGGATGGAGGGATGGAGAGGAGTGTGAGTTTACTATTGGCGGAGTTGGAGAGGTAATAGGTGCTTGGTGCAGCTCTTACCTAAGAGACAGAGAGACTGACCACCCTACCCAGCTTGCAGAAGTTGGTGAGAAGGGAGATCAGCAGTTATCGGATCTCCTAGGGCACCCACAGACGGTGGGCAGTCTGGACTTTATCGCAGGAAGGTACCTGGGACAGGGTTTCTTGGTATGCCTGTGGTCCAGGGCCTGGGCTAGGTACCCAGATGCAGTAGACTTTTAAGACTAATGTCCTGCTAGATAACGGGTCTTGGGGATCCCGGCAGGAAGGCCAGGCCTGCCTCCAGGCTTCGCAGCATCTCGCCGGGTACCCAGGGGCTGCGCGTGTTTGGGGAGCCTTCCGGAATTAGGCGCCCTGCCTCCTGCTAGTTTCTTAACCTCGTGTTTGCACGCGGCCCCTCGGGCGTCAGCTCGAAGCTAGGGCCGGGGGCTGGCGACGGGGAGGGGGCTGGCGGAGCTCGCGGCGCGGCCCCAAGTTTATGCTAATCCGTGCAGAGCCCGCCTCCCGCCTCCCTTGCGCGGCCCCAGCCGCGAGCAGCCCCCGCCACTCGGCGGGACGCAGCGGCCGCGCAGCTCCGGGCGGCCGAAGGAGCGCGCTCCGGGGGTCGCGAGCGGCGGCGGGAGCCGGGAGGGCGGGCGAGCGGAGGTTCTCCCGCGGGAGGCACCGCGCGGGGCCGAGCGGAGACCGAGAGCGATGGGCCGCCGTCTGCCCTTGTGGCTGTGCGCCGTCGCGGCGCTGCTCTCGGGAGCGCAGGCCAAGGGCACCCCTCTCCTCGCGCGGCCCGCACAGCCCGGTGCCTCCCGCCACAGCCTCTACACGACCGGATGGCGTCCGCGGCTGCGCCCGGGGCCGCACAAGTAAGCTCGGGGCCTGGCTGCGGCGGGAACGCGAGGGGCCCCCCGCGTGGCGCGCCGCCACTCCCACCTGCCGGGACCCGGGCGGAGGCGTCGAGACACGGGGACCCCAGCCACGGATGGGGCGGTTCCCCCGGCGGGATCCTTCGCGCGGGCAGGCGCCCCACGATCCTGGAAGCTGCGGGGTTGGCGAAGAACAAGTCAGCCGAGGGGGCCTGGCGCGGCCAGAATCCTGGCAGTGCCCGTGGAAACCTTTCCAGCGAAGTAACATTTTCCAGCTGCGCTGTGAGCAAACTCCAGGCGCAGCGGACCAGGTGGAGGGAAAGGAGGAAGGGCTGACCGCTCCTGAAACACGCGGGGCTCCCCCATCCGATGCCTTCTGCCCCTCCTCTGCCTTACGTGGTTGTAGATAAAGCCAGGCTCGCGGTGGATAGCCCCCCCCTTCCTGCGGGCTGGCCCCGGTAACCCTGTGGGAGCCCCAAGGTAGCTGAGCCACAGAGTTGGTGAGGACTTGTGGAGTCCTGGGCTTGTACTGTAGAACAGACTTCCACAGTGGTTGGTTTATACCCGAATTTGAATTCCTGTGGAATGTAAGATCTTGTAGGCAAGCACCCAGCCCACAGCCACACTCTGTGAGCCCCGGGGCATCAGAGCAGGCTTCCTAGAAGAGAATGAGCAAGTACTGATCTTATGAGTAAGGAAACAGCAAAGCCCAGGCCAGAGAGCTTTTCCAAGGGAGGAATGAGGAAAGCCTGATTAAAAAGAAGCTACTGAGTTTGTGCTCTCAGTAGCCTTGAAGGCCAAGATAAGGAGTTTAGAATCAGTGAAGGAGCTGGAGGCTTGGCCGAGTAGTTGAAGGAGAGGCTGAGAAAGCCTACTGTGGGGGAGGGGGATAGCCACCCAATCTCCTGGGTCAGTAGAGCCCTTGGCTCAGTAGCCACTCATCAAGGACACAGATCAGAGACCAGCAGTAGAACTGGGCCAGCCCAGAAGGTCTGGACCCTAGGCAAAGTCCCAGGTGTCCATGGAATAAGATTAAACAAGACTCGGGGTGGGGAATCTCTTGAGACCAACCAACAGGTGAGGGCTTGCTCAGGCCAAATTTCCCAGCGGCGCTGTTTTCCCCTCCAGGTCCCTCTGTGCCTATGTGGTACATAGGAATGTAACCTGCGTTCTACAGGAGGGAGCGGAGAGCTATGTCAAGGCCGAGTACAGGCAGTGTGGGTGGGGGCCCAACTGCCCCTCCACAGTCCGGTGAGTCCATCCCAGGCACTGCCGTCAGCCGGGAAAAGAGCCATTTCTGCAAAGGGCTGCAGCACCCTGGGCCTCGGAGAGCCTCCCTGAGCCACGGTGCTGGCTAGAGCAGACCAGAACGAGGCCATGAAAGACCCCAGAGTCTTTGAACTTGCAACAGCTCTTCCCCCACAGATATGAGTTCAGGCTCAGTTTGGAGCCCAGAAACCCCAGGGATCCAAGAGGGAGGCTGGAATAAGAAGATGGGACAGAGGCAGAGTATAGTGAAGGAGAGGATAGGTTGGCGCTGCAGGGGTCCCCAGCAGAGACTCACGGAAGGCTCTGGTGGCCTGGAGAGGGTGAGGCAAAGGTGGAAGCCCTAGGCCCCGGCATAGCAGATCAGACAGGCCGGCCGGGCCATGAGATGTGCTTACCTCTGCATTTGGAGAGTTTGAATGTGTATGTCTGCAAACAAACCTGTGCTCTACCGTGTTGGAGAGAGAAACGGGTACGTGGCTGATCAGTTAAAGGACGCCTTTCTGGTGAGCCCTGCCTGTACCTTCCCTGAGCCCTTCCCTTCCTGCTCACGATCCGAGGTGCCCTCACACCAGCCTCAGCTGAGTAAGCTCGAGGTGGCCGGCAAGGGCAAAAAGAAGCTGGTGGGAGCTGAGAGGAGCCCAGGGCGGTGAAAGCGAGTGCCAGCTGAGCCCTGGTGCGATATTCCTTCTACACAGCAGGAGCTGAAGCTTCGTCAGGATTCTGAGAGGCCCCACTAAAAGAAGAATGGAATTTCTCTTAGCAGCAGGAGCTGATGGGCACCTAGTGGTCTTGGGGAAGGTTAGCGCTAAATCCCTACTGGCATTCTCCTCAAGCAAGCAATTATCAAGTGGGGATTCTCCGTGCGCCCTTCACTCCCAGGGCTCCGAGTCTCTGTAAAGCCTGCTCCTACCGCATGGTTTTTTTCACCTTAAGGGTCAGAAAAGGAAAGCCCTGGGAGTGGAGACATCCCGGGATTGTCTGGAACACCAGTGCCAGGGAGCACATGGCATCTCGGCCCACAGGTACAAGACTCTGCTCCCTTGTTCTCTCTGATCCAGGTACCGCTCGGTGCTTAGACCTAGATACAAGATTGGCTACAAGACTGTGACAGACCTGGCCTGGCGCTGCTGCCCCGGTCTTACTGGGGAGGGCTGCCCTGAACACCTCACAGACCATGGAGCTACCCTACCACACCGGGAGCCAGAGCCCCAGATTCCTTTGGGGCAGCTGGGCCCAGGTCCCAGGCCGCCTTCTTACAGCAGAGAGGCCCCACACCCCCATGGTGAGTCTGTCCATAGGTGTCCTCTAGGGAGGTCAGGTTTTGTAGGCTTAGTGGTAGGGTGGGGAGGGAACGGACGCAGGTTGCTAAGCTCTCTTAAAGCTGGGGGAGGGGTCCATCTCATGTGGGGCATGACTGTCAGGCCCCAACCTCCCCCACCCAGACCCCATCACAGAGGTGGGGGAGCTGCGTTTGGGAACATGCTGGAGGGCCAGGCCCACATTGCTCCCGTGTTCCCTCTCCCTTCTTAGGAAGAAAAGGCCAAGGGTTGTTTGGTGAGCGACTGGAACAGCTGGAGGGTGATGTCCGGCGCCTCTCACAAGCATACGGCACTCTGAGTGGTTTGGCGGCCAGCCGTGAGGATCCCCTTAGGATCGCTGGTGACACCAGGGCTCCTGTGGCACCTGTAGGCTTTGGGGTCATCCCTGAGGGGCTTGTGGACCCAGAAGACAGAGGCCAAGGACCGCCCCTACCTCCTCTGGGCGAGATCCTGAGCAAGGTGAGAGAGGTGAGCAACACATTACAGACCAAGGCACAGCTGTTGGACGAGGTGCGAGGGCTGGCCCTGGGCCACGAGGCTCACCTGCAGAGGCTCCGGGACGCGCCCCCCTCCCCGCTGACCTCCCTGGCGCTGCTGGAGGAGTATGTGGACCAGCGGTTGCAGCGCCTCTGGGGGAACCTGCTGGACGGCTTTGAGCAGAAGCTGCAAGGTGTCCAGAGCGAGTGTGACCTGCGGGTGCAGGAGGTGCGACAGCAGTGTGAAGAGGGCCAGGCAGCCAGCCAGCGCCTGCACCAGAGCCTTGATGGCCGGGAGCTGGCCTTGCGTCGGGAGCTCTCGCAGCTGGGCACTCAGGTGCAGGGCCTGACTCTGACCGGCGGGGCTACCTGCTGCAGCCAGCTGGCTTTGATCGGCGCCCGGGTGGACAGCCTTGAGAGGAACCTACAGGCCGTCACGGAGACCCAAGGCGGCCCCAGCACCCTGGCTGCGGATGAGCTTGCGCGGCTCTCTGCGGCTGTGCTCCAGGGAGGTGTGGATGGGCTGCTCGAGGGCCTAGAGACCGTCAACGGGACAGAGAATGGAGCAAGGGGCTGCTGTCTGAGAATGGAGATGGGCGGTTGGGGTGTCGGCAGCCTCGGGTCCATGCTGGAAGAGCGCGTGCAGAGCCTAGAGGAACGTCTGGCAACTCTGACCGGCGAGCCACGCCACAGCAGTGCCACGCCAGACAGATCAGCTCGGCCGCTTGTTCGTTCGGAGCTAGCCGTGTTGGAACAAAGACTGGTCTCCCTGGAGACCTCGTGCACCCCGAGTACCACCACGGCCATCCTGGACAATCTCGTGGCAGAGGTGAAAGCCTGGCAGAGCCGGAGTGAGGCCCTCCTACACCAGGTAGCCACTCACACTGCTCTTCTCCAACAGCTCAATGGCACAGTGGCTGAAGTTCTGGGGCAGCTGGCAGAAGGGACAGGCAGCTCACTGCAGGGTGAGATCACTCTGCTGAAGGTCAACTTGAACTCGGTGAGCAAGTCACTCACAGGCCTCAGCGACTCTGTCAGCCAGTACTCTGATGCCTTCCTGGCTGCCAACACATCCCTGGATGAACGGGAACGCAGGGTGGAAGCTGAGGTCCAGGCCATCCAGGAACAGGTCAACAGTCAGGGCTCAAGACTTCAGGCTGGTCACAGGCAGGTCCTGAACCTGCGAGGGGAGCTGGAGCAGCTCAAGGCTGGTGTGGCCGGTGTGGCCGGAGGGTTGAGCCGCTGCCGGGACACAGCCCAGGAACTCCAGCACACAGTGGGCCACTTCGACCAGCGGGTGGCCCAAGTGGAGGGAGCATGTGAGAGGCTGGGCTTATTGGCTGCCCGTCTCAACAGTTTGCCTCCTGAGCAGCTGAGGTCTAGGGAGGGCCTGTGGGGCCACATAGACAAGCTGAACCACACCCTGGCTCAGCACACACAGGACATTGCCCGGCTCCGGGATGACCTGTTGGACTGTAGAGCCCAGCTGGCTGAGGTGAGGCCAGGACGAGCTGACTAGGGTATCTGGGCAGAATCTAAAGCCCAGATCCCACCAACCCAGGGAATATCATCCCAGAGATCAACCCTACCCAGAAGTACCTCCCAGCCCTCCCTGGCCAGCCAGAGGCCACTGGATGCATAACCTTGGTCCAGCTCAGCTCAGACAGCATGACTGTCTCAGCCATCGGAAGTCACCCTCAGAGCTGCAGCCTGGACAGTTCAGGGTAACAGTCAAGGCAAGCTGCACGAGAGGCTGTCTCAAGAGTCAAGGCAAGGACGTCAGAACTGAAGACCGAGCTAGGCTTCGGAGATGGCACTGCCATGTCTGCACTTCCTCTTGTTTAGACACACTGGAGTTCGCACCTGTGCAGTCTCCAGACAGAGTCTCAGACAAGCCTGTCTACTGTCCCCTTTACCAACCAGGGACCAGCCATGGTACTTGGAGGAATCTCTTCCCTTAGCTCTCTGGATGAGGTTTCTGCAGGAAGATGACGCCCACTGGACCTATCTGGCAGTTTCATAGGTGCTATTTCTGAACTAGAGACCAGTGGCTGCCTGAGGTTTCCAACTCCCCACACCTCCCTCAGGACAGAACGAAAGCCCAGCAGCCCAGCCGAGAGTTCTCTGTATTCCCTTTGATCTTGCCTCATGATGAGGGTGTAGGCAGCTTCGGAATCCCAAAGAAAAGGGATCCAGATGTTTGAAGACCCCACCCCAATTTATTTTTTTTATCTTGCAAATATACCCACATGGTCCTCTCCAGTTAGGGGGGAAACCTCTCCCCACCACCCAGGTCAGTACCTCTTGCCAACAGCAGCCTTAGAGTCTGTTGAGGCAGACCCCGAGAAAGGGGCTGTAGCTGAACGAAAAGTCTAAGCCTTGCTGGGGTTTTGTATGCCTCGCCAGGAGGTTCAAAAACTGCAGAGAAGTTGGGGTTAGGAAGCCGTCAGGGAACAACTGGAAAACGCAGGCGCTTAGAGACTAACCATCTCTGCTGAGGCTCCTGGCCTCAGTTCTCCCCAACGCAACCTGGGCCTGCTATGCTGTTTGTTCCCCCACAGCCCTTCATTCCGAAGGCTTGTGGACATAGAGTGTTTGTCCTCCGCTCTGACGTGGTTGGAAAACAGGTTGAAGATTAAATCTTTTAAATGGTCTAAGGGTGCTTTCTTCATTAGCAGGAATGAAGTGTCACTCTGTGTCCCATTGTGCCTTGGGTGACTGCTTACTCAGCCAGCTGGGCACTAGACTGAGCAGCAGGAGCCAGGATGGTCAGCACCAGGGCAGTGGTCTGACAGGGACCCCATGCTATGAGCCCTTATATCTGTGAGCCCAAATCATTCTCTTGTCAGAGGGGCCCTGGACCACCCACACTTAGAGCTGAATTTCAAGGTAGGTAAAGGAAGACATGATGCTTGGATCAGGAGCTATAAGCAGAGCTAGGCCCACAGAGGGATCTGGCTTCGGGGGATAATGTAGCCTCCCAGAAAGGTGTGGGATGGTCGTGTTCCCAGGTGCCACTCAGCCAGGGTGAGAAAGGGGTCATTGTCGAATGATGAGCAAGGAGCTTGCTGCTGCCACCCTTCCCTGTTCAGCTAGGTCTCGAGTGTTCACGAGGCCACCTTCTCTGTTCTGTTACAAGTTGAGTCAAGGCCACAGGGTGGCAGAGACAGATACACGAAGGGCAGTGGTTCTCAACCTTCATAATGCATATGGTTGTGACTTCCAACCGTAAAACTATTTTTTTGTTGCTGCCTCAGCTGTAATTTTGCTACTGTTGTGAATCATGATATCTGATAGGAGATACTTGTGAAGGGTTGGTGCAACGCCCAAAGGGGTCGTGGCCCACAGGTTGAGAACCACAGACCTAGGGGACAGTGAACCTGCAAGGGTCTAGTGGCACATTTAGTTGTTGGAGGTCAGGACTGTACTGAGGCCTGAGGTAGGTCCCTTCGCACTCCCCATGTCCCCGTAGCCAGCCTGGCCTCACTTGGTGATGGGGCCATCTATATCAGAGATGATTACTTTTTCTTCCATTTCTTCAAGTAGAGGGTGGCCTGGTGGTGGCAGGTGCCCTGGTACGGGGTAGTCACACTGACAGCCACAGCATTTCTGTTTCAAAGAGGAAGGAGGGGTCTCTGGCTGCCACCTAACGTGTAGCGCTTTTCTTGGGTCAGTCCCATGGCACCCATCTTCTAATCCTTGGTGTCCTAAGTACACCATCAGTCCCGGGTCAGACCAAGGAGGAAAGCCAGGGTCGGCTCAAACCAGGGCATCAAAGTCCACATATGGCAGTGGCTCCCGCCAATAGCAGAGGTTGCTGTATTCGGGTTTGGCCAGGTCTGTGCTGGGACCACGCACCACGGGTGGGAAGAGAAGCTCAACTACCTCCCCGAGTCGCTGGTACCTGGGGGCAGAATGGCTGCACTGAGTCTCGAGTTGTCAACCAGGCAGTGGCCTTCCCCAGGGTTCATCCAGAGGAGGATGTTAAATCCAGGGACAAAGAGTCTTACGTGGACTTGTGGTTCTTTATGAGTTCCTGAATGAGCTCTCCCCGGGGGTTGACCGTGAAGATGCGAGATTCAGGGAGGCCTACCTGCCGGTAGGCAAAAACATCCTACAAGAGACAGAAAGGGGTTAGGTCGGTGTCTGAGACTGCTGAGGGCAAGCAGTGGGCTACAGCTATAAGGAGGGGCACTCACGTTGGGCCTGTTCCCAAAGGCAGCATAGAAGGGCTGTCTTTGGGGCAGAAAGAGCTGCTGGATGTCACTCAGGCAGGCAACCTTGAACACCTCTGGCTTTTTCTCAATCACCTCCCTGGAAGAGCCACAGCCATGGACAGGGAAGAGGGCAAAGGAAAGGCAAGACACCAGAGGGTCAGAGAACGTGGTCTGACCAACCTTGTCAGATATCCAAGAGCAAATGTGAGCTAGGCTGGAGATACAAGGGGCTGTGGGCTTGTGTGTGAGCGTGGTTACCTGTGGAGGGCAGAGAAGAGGCTGCTTGGAGACAGCAGGATGGGGCCCTTAGGAAGGCCACAGCCACGCTCGCTCACCCACTGCAAGTACCCCTTAGTAAGGTCAGCCATGCCGATGGCCCGTGCTGAGCAGTACAGGAACTTGTACCCATTTCTGGAGGTAAGAGAGAGAGCCATCAGAAACACCCTTCCCATTGCCCCTTTTGCTGCAAGCCCAGCTCAACTCTAGGGCTCTGGCTTTGCAGGAAGTAGACTTAGGCAGACCTTGAGGGGTGTCCTCAGCAGCTGTCCCAGCTGGAACATGGACACTGTTTTATGGGCCAGGGCAGAGGTGGCTTTCTGTTACCTTGAGGTCAACAGGTAGGTGACTCACAAGAGAACCAACGAAGGTCTCTGTTTTATGAACTTCCCAGTCTACTTCCGTTGTGGGCTCTGGTGGTGCCTAAGACCAGTTTCTCAGGGCAGAAGTTAGGGTGGCCTAAGATACCCCATCATCCCTCCCTCCAGCTAGGAGCCCTGGCCCAGCCAGAGTTCAGCACTCACAGATGGATTTTGTGGTAAAGACTAGTAATGCCCTCATGTGTCCAGTCTTTTCCCAGCTGGGGCAGAATGTGGCCCAGAGCATCCGACCTGTAGCCAGGAAAGGAAGGTCATTTAGGCTACCCATGTGGCTGCCATGCTCCGTGGGTGTAGCCCAATGTGGCTCTGCCCCAACTTGGCCTCTCTGGAAGAAGGCAGTACACACTGTTGCCACACACCCAGGACAAAGGCAGGTAGGTCCCCAGGCACTCCCCCCCAGCTCCTCACAGCCAGCCGGGTCTCACTTGGTGATAGTGCCATCGATGTCAGAGATGACCACCTTGTCATCCCAATTCCACAGGTAGATGGTGGCTTTGCAACGGCAGGTGCCTTGATACTGGGTAGTCACACTGAAGACCACATCGTTAGCTCCTTCCTGCAGGTTCAGACAGCGCTGGCGGCAGGCAAAGGGGGAAGGTATGATCCTCGGCTGTGCTCTACTTTGTGGTTTTTTATTCCCATGAGCCTCTTTCACCTCTTCCTCTTAGTTCAGAGACCTTTCCTGAGGAATCTCACAACACCCACACCCAGTACATCTACATGGGCACAAGGCACCTGTGCTGCCCAGGGACCTGCACAGTGCTAGGCATGGGAGCCACAACTTCTGATTCTCCATGACATGAATATCAGACAAGCCACGTCTGTGACCTGGGTTTCTAGGTCAGCCACAAGGCAAAGGCTGGTCTTGACAGAGAGATACTCTATTCCAGAGGACGTCCTGTGGGATCATCACAGGAAGCCCTTTTGGGGGACAAGGATACCTGAGTCAATATCCCCCTAAAGTGAGGCCTAGTCCTGAATGTGATCTTAGAGAATGATGGTGGCTGCTCTCCATCGTAGCTAGGAGACCTCTGTCCTGACTGATCCAAAAGTGGACAAATACTCTAGGGTACCAAGCAAATGGCTGCTACCCTGTACCAAGTTAGTCAAACATGGATGCTTTCCTGACCACAGGCTACCAGCTACAGAACTCAGGAAATCCATATAGTGAAGGATGCATAGGTTTGTTAAAAATCTTAAGAGCAGATGTTAACACTGATGACTTCAATGAGGTTTTCATGGGACACTGCAGGTGGATAGTTTAAGGCATGAGAGGACTTTTCCCGTGAGAGCTGCTAACAGAAATGAGCTGGCCTATGAAGAGGTGAACCCCCACATTCAAGCAGAGGCTATCTGGGAAGCTGCCTGTGGGGTAGGTTCTGGCCTGTGGTGAACTGCACCTCATCTTGGTCCTGTGATCCTTGGATAGAATTAAACACAGCCCACACAGGAACGCACAGGAACACACGGACAAACTCACGATCTGATCAGAAGAGAGGCGAAGGGACTTCTTATAGGTAGGGATGTAGCCTGGAGTGGAGGGTGGCAGTGGGGGAACCTCAAGGATCACAGGGCTGTCTGGGGCATCATCATCACTGCTTAGGACCTCTGTCTTCTCTCTGTGGGCATTACTGGTGTTTGAGCCACTGGCCCCAGCTGAAGGCAACTCTCTTGCTTACCCACAGCACAGGGACATGAGCAACCCAGGGCCTGTTCCTGTCGCTCGAGAGGCTGCCTTCCCTTCAGGTGCTACCTATGTGGGATGTCTACCCAGGGAGATGACAGCCAAGCTAGAATGGAGGCCCCAAACCATCTAGCTTCAGGATGCTTCTCTGGGATGTCTACCCTGGAGATTCTTTCCTAAACACATGTATCCTGGAATTTATACCCAATGCTACTTGGTTTGGCTTCAGCTGGCCTACCCTTCATCACTCTCTCCACAAACTTGGATGGCTGGGTCATTTCCAAGGTTGAAAAAAAAGCAAGGGGAGCTAAATAAGCAAGACCCTGTGGGCTGGGGCTAGAGAGACCTTTGACCCTCCCCTTAATATGGCTAGGAATTGCTATTTCCTACCTGAGGGACATTTGGTAGGTCTCTAGGTCTAGGCTAGGGAAGAGGTTCTGGCGCCCTCCCCCACCAGGGTGACCCCCAACCCCGAGGCCTGCCGACAGTCCAACTCACCCCTGCTGCTCTCTGGTTGTGGTTTTCTCTCTCTGGGCACTGTGCTGCAGGAAGAACTTCCATAAGCCAAGTCTGCTTCCTGCCCTGTGCTGGCCCTGCCCATTGATGGCTGGCCACCCACCTACCTCCTCAGCCGGGAAGTCCCTTCGTCTCCAGGAAAACCACCAGCGCCCACCCTTCCGGGGCATCTTCTCCTTCTCAAGCTTGTCCACAGTGCTCTGTGGGTAGATGATGGCCACAAGTTCTTTCTACACCCCATAAATCTACCATATGTTGACAGCGGGAACCCTGTGAGCCCAGAACCTCAGCCCGCCCTAGAGCAAGGCTGAAAAAAATGTTCGCCTCCGCCTGAGAACCCACGAATGACTCATGGAACCCTTCTAGGGGACCAAAGGCCATGCCTGTCTCACCAGAACTCCTGGATTTAGCCTAGCTTCCTGATTTCATGAGCCTGTGCACTACTGCAGAAACTAGGGTTAACACTGCATTGGGAAAGTCATAAGAACCGGTACAGAACTCCATGCGGATTGCCTCCCAGTGGCCCCAGTAACAACACACTATAGTCAGGATTCTTTTCAATCCCAGACAAACAACTTCCTGAAGTCAGTGATCCTAACCCACAACCCTATCCCTCTCCTTATATTCTGACCAGTATCGGATTGGGGCACCATTATCTTGAGGTAAAAAAATAAAAACAATAACAACAACAAAAAAGCTGATCGGATGCATGCTAGATAACCCAGCTAAGTCCAGGACAAGGCTCGCCTAGATGACAGAGCAACACCCTACAGATGCAGTTTACAGAACTCAAGTCAGAAGGACATGAGCTTGGGGTTAACCAGCCTGGGTGACAGCAGTTTGAGTGGGGGTTCTCTCAGGTGGTGGGTCTGTCTAGATAAAATGAGGAAGAGTCAAACAAGGGGGTGATTCTCTTCCTTCCCATAGGTCCTAGATCCTAGCTCTGTCACAGTGATAGCGCGAGATGTCACTGAAGGGATGCTGTCAACACTTACGTGCCCTTTGAGGAAGCCTAATGAGCTAAGAATCATGGATAAGGCAAGAGTGGGGCCCTGGGGGACCTCATAGAGGGCAGAAAGGGCAGGTAGAGTCACAGGCCCCTCTCTTCTCACCATCTACTTTCTTGCCAAGGCTATGCCTTCAATGATCTCCCAGCGAGGGCAGGTGGCCGCAGAAGGCCAGGTGGAGATTCTGAGAAGGAATGGAAACACTGGCTTCCTTCCCTCATCTGAGTATGCGGCCACACTGTTTCATGCCTGACCTACTCAGGACTGTCACTGATCTGTATGACTAGTGGGCACTCAATCAGCAAACACCCTTAGTAATCTGTCAGCACCCCAGGCCACTCATCCCCACCACTCAGTTGAATTTGATGCTCATCTGGATGAATATTTGATCAACTGTGCTTTCCTAGAGGGTGGGCTTGTTTGGCTCATGACTCCTCAGGCTGAATATGGCACATAATAGGTACTCAACAGATGAGGGCTGACCAAGGCAGCAAGCACCCCTCAGTTCAGCACTGAGAAGGGTCAGAGTGGAACCCTGTTTCCCAGGCCTCATCTTTCAGATCCCAAACTCTCTGGTTGAAGATTTGTCTCTGTTTGGCCATCTGTCGTATGCTTACCCTGCTCTAGTTTCACTAGAGTTCCTCTGATGAAAAGCCCTCTGATGAAAAGGATCCAGCCATGGCTAAGAATCCTGGGAATGATGGGCTTTGTCCATACAGGATGGGCAAGACTTGGAGGACCTATGTTTTCTGCCTCAAGGGTGGGTCCAGTAGCCAGTAGCCACAAGCTCCAAACCTATCTTTGTTCACCATCTACTTTCTTGCCAAGGCTATGACTTCAAGGCAATGGCCCCAGTAGTGTTCTAAGCATTACCTCAGGTAAGTTCTTCTGGAAGGCTTGCAGAGAGAGGATCATGGGGGCAGCCACAGCCCAGTTATAATGCCTAGAGTGGCAGAATGAGGTGTTAGAACTACAGCAGCCATGAGGGTACAAAGAATGGGTAACTTAGGACCTCAGCCACCCCCTGACCTGCTACTCACTTCTCATTGATTTTCACCACAAGGTTTGGGTCATCCAAGAGCCCCGGGTTCTTAGTGAGGTCCTCATAGGAGACCATGTGCTGGTTGAACTTTTCTGGGCACAGAGGCAGAAAGTGAGGGCTGAGGGTGCCATGTCCCTCATGACCCCCTTCCTTCATACTCTCCCACAGAGCTCCTGTCACCTAGGTCTTTGACTTGGCAACAATTACTCCATCCAGGAATTACAGCCAGGTCAAGGCTTACTATCAAGAATTTGTGTCTCAAAGATGTTGGCTGAGCGTGGACACCACAGGGCAGATAATGGCCGGAAGCCCAGCCCAGCCTCACATCTGTGCTACCCCACCTTCAAATGTCTTACCTGACTTCTGGCTTCTTCCTGCCCTGCTGTGAAATCTGGAGGTCTTCTTTGCAATTCCTTGACCCTGAGGGGTCATTTATGCCCTCCCATGGCTCCTGAGTACCATATCTGTTCTCTTACCTCCTTTCATCCCTAGGAGCCTGCCTCCCTTCTCTGGTCCCTGAACGTCTTCCCCATCTTCCCTTGGTCCCTAGCTCTGCATTAATCCTTAGAAGGGCTGGCACCATGGTTGAACGTACCCAGTGAGATGTCTCGGGTGTCAGCCAGCCCCCCGCAGAGGGACAATGCTATTCTGTCCACTGAGTCCAGAGTGGATTCTGCTATGTGCTCAGGGTTGGGGTTCTCTAGGAGCTTCTGGTTGCTGGGTTCACTCCACCTCCTGGCCCCCATCCCACATTCGCTGAAGACAAAGAGACCAGCGATGATATGAATACAAAAGAAGACAGAGGAGGCTCTCCTTTCCTCCCAGGCCCTTCATAGGAAATCTTTGGCTCCACAGGCCCCAGTCCCAAACTCCCTTTCACCCAGAGCCCAGGCACCTCTGGGGGAAATAAAGGGCTGCGTTCTCAGAGTCCAGGGAGGGTAGATCATCCAGGTAGATGTCACTGGGGCCCAGGTGCTGGTTTCTCTTCAGGAAACCTAAGGGTGAAAGAGACAACACTCATCTACCAAACATGGATTCAGTGGCATGAGCTACATGTGGCCCTTTGCCCCAAGTGGCCTAAAGTGCTGCTGTCCAACAGAACTCTTCCACGACAGAAATGTCCCATATCTGTATTGTCCAATATGGTAGCCACTAGCCACAGGTGGCTACGAAGCACGCTTCAGATAGATTGGTGTGGCAGAGAGACGGGATTCCAAGTTTTGTTTTGATTACTCCATTTCATTTTACTTCCCTGTTTATTGGTATCTCTTAAAAACAATTTTATTTTGTGGGCACACATGTGGTGGTCAGAGGACCACAGTGCAGGGCAGGGGACAGCCTACAGGAGTCAGTTCTCTCCTGAGTCCATATGGATCCTGGGGATCAAACTCAGGCTGTCAGACTCGGCACCAAGTGCCTTTACCCACAGAGCCGTCTCACTAACCCTATGGATTGTGTCATTGAGACAGGGCCTCGTGTGCCTCAGGTTGGCTTTGAACTCACTATATATTCCTGATCCTCCCACCTACATCTCCCAGATTCTGGGATTACAAGCTTGTACCATTGTATACAGTCTATGTGGGACTGGGACTGGGGCTCAAACTCTGGCTTCCTCCATGTTAGTCAAGCTTTCTACCAACTGCATGCCATCCCTAGCCCTTAATTATTTAATATTATGAAACCTCTCTCCCACCTTCGGGGCCTAACTCATGCAGTTTCCTCTGCCTAGAATTTTCTTCTCATTCCTCCCATGGCTGGGTCTTCATTGTCTATGTCCCAGTTACAACTCTCACTAATCAGAGACCTCCCAAGACCATGTGATTTCCCAGTCCCCAGTCCCCAGCCCTCCTTGTTTATACATGTGCCATTTGTCTCTTCCATTGGACTGGGCCCTGAAAACACTGCCTGCAAAGCACACAAAGCCTGGCATACAGCAGCTGCTCAAAGCGTGCCGAAAGCTGTACTTGCCCACCCAGGACATAACCTGAGGCCAGAGATGCAGGCAGAGAGATGCACCCGTCACTCACCTTTCTCCCTGGAGGCTCCTGGACGCCCAGAGGAAATGTGGCTTTCCGGAGAGGTCCAGTTCCATGACTTAGTAGCAGGAGGGTGGCTGGCACCCTTGGAGTTCTGACTCTTGGTTTCCTTACTCTCTGGAGCAGTAAGGGAAGACTCCACCAGAGTTCCCTCACAGTGCACCTCCTCATCAGTGCTGGCCCCTGGCTGCAGCACTGGGAGCCTCAAAGTGTCCACACCAGCCACAGAGGAGGAGGCGGGAGGGCTAGGTTCCCCGGAAAGTGCACAGATCGCCTCGGCCACACTTTTAAGGTCCACGGAGAACTCAGGCCGCTCAGCTTTCGCCACCTTCAATCAGATTGATACAGGAAGACACAGTTCTCACAAAGCTCACATCCCAGCAGCATCTAACCCTGACGCAGATGGGTCAGGGAGTCCCTGAAAGGCCGAGACTGGAGCAGCATGGAGGAACTCACCTTAGGCAGTCTCCCCCAGGCCCACTGCATGTGAGACTCAGCTCTCAGGGGACTGGGCTCCGAGGACCGCAGTTCCAGCTCTGAGTCACTCTTAGGGGACATTAGGTCACCTGATGAGAGGCTACGAAGAACAAGCATTCAGAGACAACCACTAGTCAACCTGTCACCACCCCCCCAACCTAGCCCAACATAGAAAAAAAAATTTCAACAGGTATTTATGCCTGAATTGAATCAAAAATATACAAGAATATGTATATTATACATATACATATATAAAGAACTCCTATAAACCAACAATAAGAAGGCAAAAAACTGATTTTAGTTTAGTTTAGTTTTTTTTTTAATTAGATGTGGTATCACATGCCTGTAATCTTAGCATCATCTTCTGCTACATAAGGAGTTCAAGGCCACCCTTGGCTGTGTGAGACCCAAAACAAACAGGATGGCAAGATCTATTCTGTAAGATCTATTTATATGTATGTGTGCACATGAGTGCAGTGCCTGTGGAGGCCAGAAGAGGGCATCAGAGCTCCTGGAGCTGGAATGATGGACAGTTGTGAGCTGCTTCATGCATGTGCTAGGAAGTGAACTTGAATCCCCTGTAGAGCCATCTCTCCAGCCCCACAGATGTGTCTTCTTTATAGGTATAGGATGTCTTTCCAGCCCAAAGGAAAGAGCTAGAACTAGAGCATAGTCATGGTCCCATGACACTAGGAACGGACTTCACACCACTGAATTGCGCACTCTGAACTGTGGCAAGGCTCATGTTAGGAGTATTTTTGTTGCCACGATTTAAAATTGAGTTTGATCCTGTTGCCGAAAGCATGATACAATACAATAAAATAAGAATTGCCCCCAAACTTAAGCGTTTTATAAAAGAGAAGTATCGATGGGCAGCAAACCCACTGAGTGGGTTCTGAGAAATTGGTCATCGCAGAGCTGTAGGCTGGGAGCAGCCTCACACCACCCTGCCGCCCACTGGAACGCTTACCCGGCCTGGGGGGCGCACTCGCCATCGGAGTATGGGTAGATGTCTTTAGGCTGCGATGAGGGCTCTTCTTCTTGAGCACTGCTTAAGGACCACAGAGAAATGCTCACTAAGAGGAAAGGGCATGGAAGCCTGCCTATCAGGAAGTTGGGCAGGAAAGCCCAAGAGATGTCAAGGCCCTTGTCCAGAGTCACACGGCATCAGCAGAGGAGATGCTTCGGCCCAGGCTAGTGGTCCCCGTGCCCCCACCTGGCTCCTACCCACCTTGGGGACTCTGGTGTTGGCTTTTCCAGCTCACTCTCCACACCTGCCTCCAAGTCCTCAGAACTGGAGTCCGCAGCATCCTCCCTGCGCCTGGGTTTCCTCCTGCGCCGCCTCTTTCTCCTCCCAGTGATGACAAGGCCCTCAGGCTCACTGGCTGTGCCCAGCTGGGAGTCTGAGGGAAAGCCTGACAGGCCTCCCCATGGGATGGGGGAGGTGCACAGGCGGGGAGGCACGTCTTCCTGTGGACAGAACCAGGGCTGAAAGTGCTAGAGCCATCGGGTTAGCCAGAGCCCCACAGTGAGCTCATGTGGAGACAGGCAGGGGCCTCGCCCCCTCCCCCTCAGCAGAGGTGCCCCTCTAACTGAGTGACACGGCAGTCCAGGCAGGTCCATCAGAACAGGCAGAAGCAGGGGCATCAGCCTTTCCCTGCCTCCTGTTAACGCACATTTCTCCTCTAAGATTTAGCCAGGTGCCACTTCCTCCAGGAAGATTGCCCAGACTACAGTTCCTTACAAGTAGCTGCAACACTGGCTATTTCTGTGCCGGTACTCCAGACTAGTCTGGAACTCTTTTTAAAGGTAGGGAGTCAATTGTTTGAGTCAGATACACAATGTCTGACACACAGTAGGGGCTCAGTTAAAGCTTATCAAGTTCAAGCAGTTTAAACTCTTTTGTTGGCTTTGGCTAGGTCTTATCTTCATTCTGCAAACACTCTGCTTTTCACACACACACACCACATTCTGTGTTCTGGCTGTGCGGGGCAGATACAGACTAGAGGAGCCAGGCTTCAGTCTCTGCAGTCCCCTCGTCCTCATCTTTTCTGAGCTTCCAACCCATGCTATCTTTCCACTCCTCAGGGGTCAGCTCAGAGGGTTCCTGCTTCAGAAACCTTCCCCAGGAAGCAGAATCAACAGGATATTATAAAGTCTGAGGCCACCCTCACATCACCCTGTTTATCAGATCTCTGCTGAAGGGATTTTCCTGAGATTCAGGGACCATGACGGGCCCCAGATTCCCTCTTGGTACAGCACCAGTGAGGGTGTGAGGTCAGGCCTAAGCCCAGATGACGATCCCTACCTCATCACTGTCCAGCTCCTGGACGAAGAAGGCCTCGCCACTGTCCCCCAGCTTCATGTGCAAGTCCACAGGCTCTCCATTGATTTCAATGTCCACCTGTAATGGGTGGGGACTGTGGGAGCAAGGCGTGGCTCCTCATGTCCTGAACTAGTACCTGGAGACCCACTCCTGCCTGCCTCCAGCTCTGATGGGGCTGGAGCTCTCTCTAGACTTCAGTGGCCTTGGCTGCTTGCTTATCACCTGGTCACCAGGAGAATGTTGCTATGACCTGACACTTCTGCCTTTTCCCGGCTCCTGGCTGTTGAGTACATGAACAATGGTGAGCATTACCACTGTTGTGGAGTGTTCCTGCTTACCTTTTAACAACCCCCTGCAGCAGTAGCTCCTAGAATTATCTCCTCTTTATAGATGAGGAAACTGAGGCTTGTTGGGAGAAGAGGGTGTTGGGTAGGTTATTTGTGAGGACCTGCCCTCCCAGCAAGAGTCTCTGAAACCCAAAAGGTCTTCAAACCGCCCCCCAACCTCTTTGTGTTTTGTCTTGTGCGTGTTTGTATGTGGCATCCTGTGTGTGCGTGCGTGTGTGTGTGCATGTTTGTGTGGGTGTCTGCCTATGTGAGAGGCCAGAGGTCAGTCGCAGATGTCTTCCTCTCCACCTTGTTTTTTTGAGGCAGAGTCTCCCACTGAGTCTGGAAAAGACCAGTTGGTGAGGCTGGAAGGCTACTGAGCTCCAGAGGTCTACCTGCCTCTGCTTCCTCAGGGTTTTATATATTTATACTGTAAATCACAGACATGTGCTGCACCTTGATGTTTATGAGGGAAAAGTTCACTGGGAATTGCAGTTTGGGGCATTGCAAGCTCTTTACTCACTCGGGCATCAGCCCAGCTCTGCAGTCTAACCTCTGACCTCTGAGAACCCTGTCCTTCACAGGTTATATTTTTGCATCAGGGTTCTGAAACATTCAGTCACTTCAACTTGAAAGGTGTTTGGGCACTCTAAACTGTTGCTCACACGAGGACCCAGGTGCTAACAGAAGACTTTGTTATCTTTACCTGAACCTGAGGAAGCAGATATGGTCCTAGTAAGGGACTAACCTTTGTCCCCACCAACCTGACCTTGAGGCCACATTATCAGTTCCTGTTTACTGTCCCAATATTCCACTGCTAGCACTAGGCATATAAAAACTTGTCATCTGTAAAGGTGACATACTGGCTTTAAAGACATGAGGTGCTTTAGCAAGGCTGCAGGGGAAGCCTTAGTGAGTTGAGCCAGATCCGGTAGCCACAGCATCCAGTTCTGTTCTCCTGGGCTCAGTTGAATCCCTGGGGCCCACAGAGTGAAAGGAAAGAACTGACTCCCACATTGTCTTCTGACTTCCATACACAAGTGTGAATACACAATCATATATACAGAAAATAAATAAAATAAGACAATTCTTTTTAAGGAAAATGCAATGGAAATACAAAAGAAGAAACACAGGACAGGTACCCACCTACCCCCTCACCCCACACCTGAGGGAAGCCACGTCTTTTCTGGGACAGCAGTGATTACCCTGGCCTTCAAAAGCCCACCCTAATGAAGCCAGACCACAGGCCAAAGCACTCACCACCTTCTCCCGTGACCGCAGGACACCCAGCTTGCCAAAACGCACGTGGAAGGGCGAGCATCGGAAGGAGCCATCCGTCTGCTTTACCACCAGCACGTCGATGCCGCCACTCAGGGTGGCTGGGTTCAGGCCCCTGTAGAGTTCCTTAACTGTTCCAAACACTGTCTCTGCCAGCTGCCCCACATAGTTCATGGCTGCTGCTGCTGGCCAGAGCTGGGATGCCCAAGCTGAAGGTGTGTCTGGCCCTTGGAGACGGAATGTGGTCTGTACAGCGGCAGCAGCTGTGGGATGGGAGGATCTCCAGGAGGGCAGAGCCTACTGGCCGTGGCTGTCCCGCTGGCCTACTGCGGGACCCTCGGGCAGCTGGCTGCCTTCTCTTGCCAGTCTCCACATCTGTGAAAACAAGGACTCAGGGTGAGACAGTACCTGGGTGCCTGTGCCTCTGAATGCTATGACTCATGGTAATGCTCATGAGCAATCTTCAGAACAACCTTGCAAGGCTGGCAGAGTGAGTGTTATTGTTTACAGACGAACCAGATGAAGCTTGGAGAGGTGGAGTGACTTGCCCAGGGTCTCACACCTGTAACGAGAGAACCTGAGGTTCAAGCCCAGGTCTACGTGACTCACATCCAGAACTCACATCCAGAAGATCCACTGTGGAGACAGGACATCGTGGACAGTGAGGAGAGCCTCTGGGTCCAGGGAGCCCTGCTAGGTAATGGGTGGTGTCCTAAAGGAAGTCTTCCATTTGAGAAATGGGTCTAGCTATCTTGCTGCTTCCTGGTCCTAGAAATTGACCAGGCTCTTGCGTATTCGCTCTCGGTACCTAAACCTCTATGAGCCCTATTAGTAGTCCCAGGCACCAAGTAAGGTCTCTGTGTAGCTTAAGGAACCACTCCAGCCCTACAATGACCCCTTTCCTGGTAAGGGGTCTGTCTATGGGCCAACTGGAAGGTGAGGCCCACAGCCCTACTCCAGGATCTCCAGGCCATTGTTTTCAGCCCCTGACTTCAGACTAGAACTCAGCTAGGCAGGTCCTCAGACCCACATTCTGGGTCATCTGTAAAGGTGACCCAGCCAGACTGGTCCCTCCAGCTTTCCTGTGTCTGGTAGGGCAGGAAGAGGTGAAGGAGGAGGCTTCAGTGACAGCAAAGAAAAGCCAAGGCTATCATGAGTCATGACCAAGCTGCCATAGTGACCCCTCATCTGACTCCACCCTTACCAGAATCAGCTCATCACACCTGCTATGCTGTCAGGCAAGAGATCTACCGCTGACTGGCAGCACTGGGAACCAGACCCAGGACACCTCTACAGGGCACCCTTCTCTTTCAGAATCTTGCACAAGAATTCCTGGAGGACAAGGGTTCAGGATCATCCTTCAAAGAAGCTAAGTGAGTTACTGAGCTTTATGGAGCTAATAGAGCACAGATCATGTGTGGGGTGCGGGGTGGGGGGTGAGCAGGAGAGAGGCTATGACTCAGGTCTCCTGACTCCTTAATTAGTCCATGGTCCCCACACCACACCACAGCTGTCTGCAGAGAGGGAGAAGCCATATCTGTATAGCTTTGTGATGCACTGAACTTGGAATGTGGTCCAGGAACCGGCAGCAGCAGGAGTGTCCCTGGGAGCTTATTAGAAAGGTGGGAACTTAGGTCTAGCTCGGCTTCCTGGGTCCAGTGTACATTTGAACATGTGGACCCTTGGGCGGTGTTCCCAGTCCGTAGCTGACTTTTGGGAAAGTCTTGACCTAACCAGTAGGAGGATAAGTAAAAAAATGGGGTGAAATTAAACTCTGTGGCTCCCTAATGTCACTCAAAGCCAGTAACAATTTTGTCTGCAAGACACCTATTAGGTCCTTGGTGGAAAGTCTCATTCTGCTCTAACTTCAGATCTAAAAAGACAGACTGACAGGACAGATACAGATCAGTTGAGCAATGCTCTAGGCCAGTGTGAGTCTAGGGAAAGCAGAGAAGACCCAGGAGTTTCCAGGAATAAAGGAGTAAAGCATGGGAGGCCCAGGGTAGGGGGTGAAGGGGTGGGACAAAGCTGCTGCTGACCTGCTGGGACCAAAAGAACTGGAATGAAAGGGAGGCTTGGTCTGCTCTATCACAACTTCTCAACTGCTGGTTGGGACCAGAACAGTTTGAGTGTGTGCATGTGTGTGTATGCGCGTGTGCACACACATACTGGGTACACACATACTGGGTAAATTATGAGACTGTATCTCTGGTCTCTGTACATTAGACCATGGTAGGCCCCCATCCCCCATCCGAGGTTGTGACAGCCAGGTTGTCTCTAGATGTTAAATGCGTCCCAGGGCTGCTAGGGATAGAGCACTTGCCTTGTAGACACTGCCCTCTAGGCTCAGTCCCCAAACTGCAAATAAAACCAACTGTCTCCTTGGGAGAAAAATCATCCCCGGTTGAGAACCACTAATCCAAGAAAGAGAGCTGGGTGGCAGGGCTGAGTACACGGGAGGGGTGTCACTAGAATTACTCAGATCCATTCACGGGTTCTCAGGCAAACAACTTGCGGCCTCAGTTCCTCCTGTACAATACAGCCCTTAAGTCAGACCCATCTCAGCCTTGAGAATCTCACTTGCTTGGACTTTGGGTTCCTCTAACTATCTGCCCCCAACACACACACACACCCTTAAGGGAAGCTTGCTTTGGGCCCTTCTCAAGCTGGGAGCTCTGCTTCTTACACAACAGTCCCTTCCTTGACCTGCCTTCGGTCTGGGTCAAGGTTTTATTACCAGATCACTAGATCATTGATGGCAGCTGGGCATTGTGGGTAAGCGCGCCACAGTGCTGGAGTTTTAACCTGCCGCTTACCAGCTCTGGCTCTGAGCAAATCAGTTCATTCACCTGAGCCTTCATTTCAGCTTCTTTCAACAGGGATAACATGAGGTAGTACTTGATGAGCTAATTTGCATACAGCCCTGTTGGACAATGTGCGTTGTGCCCGTATGCGTCACCTGGCAGAAACGCCAGCATCGTTTTCAGCATCACAACAGTCCCACTTACCCAGGCTGTGGGCAGCGCAGTGGAGCAGCCTCTGCTTGCATCTAACAGCCAGCTGGCACCCAACACCATGAACAGTGGGAACCTCACGGTTTACTAGATGGGCCGGTGAACTGCAGGCCTTGCAGAGCACCTTGCTCCAAGACAGGCTATAATATCCGAAAGGTTCCAGGCTAGTCTGCCTCTACCATAGGAAAGCCAAAACAAGCTGCCCTGGACCTGAGATCCCTGCCCTCTTGGGTCTCCAGATTTTGAGTTGGGGGAGTCACCCATCTCCCTGCCACCAAAGCGAGTAGGAGGAAAAACTTTGTTTATAGCAGCGCTAGGGAGGAAACTCTGTGTCTCTCCTTATACCAGGGATGTTCTCTATCACCAAGCTGCAATTCCCCAGCTTAGAGCAGCGACTTCTGTTGTCCCAGGAGAGGAAAAGTGCCTCAGCTCTCCTCATTGACTCACAAGATAGGCCAGGCAAGGGCCTGGATATTCCTTTGCAACTGAGGACACTCGGTACCAAGGACACGCAGTCAGTCTGGGGCAGCCTCCCTAAAAGGTTCTGGTATCTCCTCTCCAGTTCCTAGTCTTGGCTATCCAGGGACCTTGAGGCCGCTGGGAAAGGGCCAGGAAGGAAGTGAAGCTATCCGTCCCCCACTCTTTCCCTAGCTCCAGGTGGACTCTGGCCCTTGAAATGAAGATGAGACAGAAGAACAGAACGGGAAAGAAACATTTTCCCTCCTGTCCCAGCTAGGTTCCTACCTAGGAATTCCCTTCCTCCCGTGCACCTCTGAGACCCAGAGTCGCCGCCTCTACCTGTACGCAGAGGTTCCCCAGGTAAGGGTCAAGGTCGGAGCACTTCCGCTTTCTCTGGGCACGGGTGAGATCCAGGCTCCACTCCTTCCTCCCACCAACCAGGTGCGGCTTTCACTGTCCTAAACCAGCCCAGGCTCCACCCCTCGCTTCGAAAAGACCCCGCCCCTGTCCCGTGTTCACTCCCAAGGGCGCCCTTGCTCCCAGCGAGACTGCGGAGCAGCAGACTTTACGCCCGGCGCCCAGCCACGCTCGTGGCCGCACCAGCTGCCGCCACGGAAACGCAAGCGACTCAAGGACTTTGGAACCGCGCCTACCCACGCCCTGTTCCTTTCCACCTGGCTCTGTGACCGATTTGAGGCCGGTACTCGCTTTATCGAAGAGGAGAGCTACTTGTAGGATTTTCCAGAGAACATGAGTGTCTTTGTGGAGTGCTTGGTGTTTGGGTTTCCCATCCCGGGAACAGCGTTCCTTGACCCTCCACACCTCTTCCTAGCCGAGATCCAGCTACCCGTAGGCTCACAGCTGTGATGTCTTATTTGCTCAATTAGTGCCAGCCTTGTTGATTTGTTTCGCAGCGCCGATATCAAACCCCGGGGCCACGCGCAAAGGGATCTGCCACCGCTACACCACCCAGCTTCAAATGTGCTCTTTAACTGAGCTTGAACTCCGTGCGAACAGATCTCCGTCAACGCTCTCAGTGCCGTTGCAAGAATACCTGCTCCAGCATCCATCAGCGACGGGCAATGCGCTCAATACCACCGCAGGCCAGCAGGGGGCAGACGATGACCAGCTTTCTCACCACCCAACAGCCTCAACAGCCAGGACAGGCGAGCAGATTTGTAGGCAATAAATCCAAGCGGCCAGGGCCAGGCCAGGAATGGCTTTAAATCTGTGGTTCGTTTCCTTCCCTGATTTAAAAAACAAACAAACAAACAAACAAACAAAAAAACTCTCTGCCTACCTTTAAGTCTATGGCCCCTGCAAAGAAGACATGATGGAAAAGATCAGAAGCTGAAGGTGTTTGTTCTAAAAAGCACAGGCAGGCTTTGCTAATTAAAAGATGGCTCAGTCAACCGAGCGTGGTGGCAAACGCCCTTATCCCAGCACTGGGAGGCAGAGGCAGGCAGATCCCTGAGTTCGAGGCCGGCCGGGTTCCAGGTTCTGTATAACAGGGTTACACAGAGAAACCCCGTCTCAAAAATCCGAAACAGACAAACAAAACAAGGCTCCTCCAGTAAAGGTGCTTGCTTTTGAGTAGAGTAACTGTAATCTACACTTACAAGGAGCTCCAGGCAGGCTTTGAAGCCTGTGCACATACTGTGGGTATGTGCTTCTCAGCCTCCTAATGCTGCAACCCTTTAATACAGTTCCTCATGCTGTACTGACCTGCAACCATAAAATTATTTTGTTGCTACTTTGTAACTAATCTTGCTATTGTTATGAACCATAATATCTGATATGTAGTGTTGGTAGGACCCTGCTGTTTGAGGTTGCAGTCCTCCCAGTCTGGATAGCCTTTCTGAGCTTGGCTCTAGATGGAGGACTCCCTTTCCCCATAGGGTCTCCCACTCTCTGCCTGACCTCATCTGAAGAGTGTCTTTAGACACTCTAACCACATCTGATATATGGCCTTTGGCACAGTTTCTTGCTAGCTCTCCCTGCCCTGCCTATAGGATAATTTGACACTGTGTTCCCATGGTGCTGCCGAAGGCAAATCAAGCATCCAATCAAGCAACCAATTATGTACACCTATCCTGGGAGCCCCCGCCCCGTCCTCTTACCCAAGGACTATATAGCCTTTATTCCCCCCAAGTAAAGTTGAACTATCTCACTGAAGTGGTTCCCGGAGGTCATTTCTGTTGTGCTTGAGGCCTTCTGAGCCCTGCGCCTTGCCTTCTGCTCCTCCTGCCCTTGTAGGTTGGTGGCCAACAGCTTCCAGAGAAGAGGAGACCCACAATGTAGGATATCTGTTAGGAGATCCCTGTGAAAGGGCCGTTCAACCCCCAGAAGGGTCGCGACCCACAGGTTGAGAACACCTCTTTATCAATTGGTTTGTGTTTTTAATTTATTAAGATAAAGGCATAAAAAGGCAGAGCAGGCCCAGAGGGGTGGGAATGGGGACCTGAGAAAAGCCAGCTTCGACTGGACTAGTTGCTATCTCAAAAGAGCCCTGCTGTAGAAGCACAGCCATCTCAAGGGGTTCTGGCCTGCTGAAAAATTGCCCATGGCTCTATTATATATAATGATTACATTGATGGTCAAACTCTGGAAGCAGGAACTTCCCCCAAAACACAGGCAAGAAGATAGGCGAGGTCACAGACTGGGGCTTCTATCTTTTTTTTTTTTTTTAACTCTTATGTAAAGATGAGGTCTCACAGCCTAACACAGTGGCACATGCCTTTAATCCCAGCACTCAGGGAGACAGAGACAGGCAGATCTTTGTGAGTTTGAGGACAGCCTGGTCTACATAGTGAGTTTCAGGACAGCCAGGACTATATAGAAACCTTGTTTCAACAAAGAAAGAGAGAAAAAAAGAGGAAGATGGGTCTCTTTATGTAGCTATATAGACCAGGATGGCCTCAACTCACAGGATTCTGCCTGCCTCTGCCTCCCTCCAGAGTGCTGGGATTCAAGGTGTGCACCTCTATGCCCAGCCTAATCTTTTGATCCTTAATTTCACTTGCAAAAGAGTGATAAAATTTAACCTGCGGGATTATGTCGTGAAGATTTGATAATCAGTGGTCCTCAGTCTTGGTTGCATACTTACATCCTCACGCCCTTGACAAAGGCTGACCCCATAGGCACTGAGACTTCAACCCCCCGTGTAGCTCTACTGAGCTACATCAATGCTGAACACAGCGCAAGGCACACACGGTAGGCATCCAGCAGTGCTTACTGCACTTTCTGTTTAGGTGTGTGGTCTGTGGGGGTGGGGAGAGGTGGGGAGAGGCATGTCTCTTTGTGTCTGGGTGCATGTGGAGGCCAGAGCAGAGGCTGGGTGTCTTCTGGGATTACTCTCTGCCTCAGCGCTTTGGTCTGCATTTGAGCCAGAAGCTTGCTTTATGAGCTCACTTGGCCAGTCAGTGAGATCTCCCGATCTATCTTCCTCAGTACCACAGAGTGCCGGACTTAGGGACATGCACAGCCACGACTTGATTTTTTTTTTCTTTATTTTTTAACCAACCGGGATAAAAGGCCTATTTCATCCACCTGACTTTCTTTTTATTTTATTTTATTCTTGTGAGTGTTTGGGTGTTTTGCCTATACGTGTGACGTGTGTGTGTGTGTGTGTGTGTGTGTGTGTGTGTGTGTGTGTGTGTGTGTGTATGTGTGTGTGTGTCAGAGAGAGACAGAAAGAGACAGAGAGAGAGAGTGAATCACCTGGGTACAGTACCCCCGAGGCCAGCAAAGAGCATTGGCTCTCCTGGGACTGGAGTTAAAGCAGTAATGAGACTCTTTGTGGGTTCCAGCGGTCAAACACTGGCCCTCCAGAGAGCAGCCAGTGCAGCTAACCACTGAGCCATTGCTCCAGCCCCCAGGATTTTTAGGTGGGCCCTAGGGATTTGAACTCATTTTCATTCTTGCAGAACAAGTGCTCTTAACCACAGAGACACATCCCCAACCCTTCCTTTTTGTTTTATGTAGATTTTTTTGTTTTGTTGGTGCTGGTGTGTGTGTGTGTGTGTGTGTGTGTGTGTGTGTGTGTGTGTGCGCACACACACACACACACACACACACGTGCATGTGCGTGCTCTAGTATGCAGAATTTTGCTGCGTTGCCCAGGATGACTTCAGACTTCTGTGCTCAATTCATCCTCTGGTCTTGGCCTCTTTAGCAGTTCTGACTACAGGCACACAGCACTATGACAAGTTGTTTTTATTCTTTGTTGTAAGGTGGTGGTGGTGGGGAGAAGTTCATAAAGATTGTTGCTGAAATTGGATGTCCATCAAGCTGGTTTTCAGAACTCTAAATCATCTAGTTTTGGTGATTGTGGAGGAGTATAAAGGGGTAATGGTTGTCCTACTTGTCCTAACACCCAGCCCAGATGGCCAAGGCAGGAACTGTCTTGTTCGTCATCCGAGGGATACTCATTTAGTCTGAAGGTACCTTGTGTGCTGCGCCTGCCTGTTTCTGGAGTCAAAGGTGAGGTTTTTCTCCTCCTCCTCCTAAGTGCATGTGCTAGCTGGGGCCTGTACCACCGATGCCTGTGGGTTTCTTATTAATCGGAGAATAGAGCTGGCAGTGTGTTCTATATGAACTTTGGTAGCCCATGTGCGTCTTAATCCGCAGGCAGGTTCCAGTGACTATTTACTTTGCCCTACTACTTCCTTGCGAGTGAACCCAGGCTGAGGTGAATGGAAGCTTTGAGCCAGGCCTGCAGCTGTGATCACATGTCATAAGCAGCAAGACTGGCTGCCAGGAACGGAGCCTCCACCAGGCCTAGTGGGACAGTATATAGCGGGAGCTGGGATTGGTTCTTCTTAAAGAGCAGGCTTGAGGGGGTAGGAGGCAGGCAACTGCTTTTAGCGAGTAAAACCAAACGGCACTAGTTACATTTCAATTTCAGATACACATTTTTTTTTAGTATATGTATGTCTTGTGCAACATTCTTTATTTATCTAAAATTCACGATTAACCGCATGCCTTCATTTTTCTCTTTAGTTAAGTATGGTAAATTCCTGTCTCCCCAAGTAGCTAAGTTCACAGCAACCGTCTCTCCTGTCCTGCCACATTCTGCTTCCACAGCCCAGCTCTAGAACAGTGCATGGCTCCCAGATACTTCCATACTGTAACTGGGACTCCCCGGCCTTAGCTGTCCTGTAAGCCCAGCTGACCTGCTTAAGCCCTTTTCCACCTCTGCCATGTGTTTATTGAGCACTTACTGGCATCAGGCTGAATTCCTCATTCTCATCGGCTTCTCCTAAGACCCAGCACATGAGAGCCCATAATATTATTTACCAATGACAGACAGATGATCTAAGATAATGCTCCGTGTCTTTGTTTATCTGGTGTGTGCATGCTTGTGGGGACAGAGGACAGCCATAGGTTCCTTCATTCCTCAGAAGCCCTTCACCTTGGTTGGTTGGTTTGCGGGACAGGATCTCTCAGTGGCCCCAGGGGTCTCACTGTCTCTGCCTCTCCAGAGATAAGATTATGAACACACTACCACACCACACTTGGCTTCATCTTCTCCTCTTCTTCCTCCTCCTCTTCTCTCTTTCTCTCTCGCTCTCTGAGTCAGGTTCTCACTGTCTTCACTGTATATCTCTGGCTAACCTAGAACTCATTATGTAGACCAGGCTGACCTCAAACTCATAGAGATCCAGCTGCCTCTGTCTCCTTAGTGCTAGAATTAAAGGCATGTGCCACCATGCCCAGCAACACCTGGCTTTTTTAAAAATTGAACACAGGTCCTTATGTTTGCAAGGCAAGCACCTTAGAGGTTGTACCAGCTTCCCAGCCTCAGATAGTGTTACTTAGAGTGAAGCCCCTGGACCAGCATTAGTAGCTTCCAGAAACTCGTTAGGAATTTTTGTTCTCAACTCACCCACCTGCCAGACCTAGTGAGTCAGAAACCATGGAGGAGGGGTTGGCTGTTGGTATCTAATTAAATCCATCCCCTTCTCTCCTGTACCCTTGGTTTGACACTTGCTCTAATATGAGATCTTAAATGTATAAGAAATGAAGTGGAGGCTCCCACGAGGGTTATTTTATGACCTATAATCACCAGGCCCTGGGCATGCCATAGCTCTGGGTCCTGGGTCTAAGAAAAAGAACAGATGCCCGTCAAGGAACTGCCTTATAAGACAAGTTCAAGTCCAAGAGCCTATAGTCACATGGGGGGGGGGGGGAGTCACAAGAGCTTTCTTTAGTACATACATATATAGGCCTGAAAATTAGAAGATGGGTGGGGCACTGTGGGGCCTACCTTACAGAAAGGCTGAGTGGTCCTACCTGGAAGTAGTTTGGTGTTGGTGAAACAAGTGGGGGAAGGTGATTGTGATGTTCCCTGCCCTAAGAGCAAAGGAAAAACCATGGTGGGTATCGTGGAAGCCCTCTGGCTTCTAGGTAAATGGAGCACTGGGGGAAATGGAAGACATAGGGTGAAGAGAGACCTAAGGGTGCTTGGGCCTTCCAAAGAGATCAAAGAGATCAAAAGAGCCTCTGCCCTCATAGGCATCTACAGAGAGATTCAGCTCCCAATTACACCCACCACCAAGTATGTGGTTCTGAAGCCCAGCCCATGTTCAGGGTGCAAGGCTGCAATTCCAGGGTGCTAGGGGGAGGCGACGGGCCTGGGAAGCGGCTTCTCTGGCCCTGCCCCTGCTGGTCTCTGCCTCTGCCACCCTAGCCAAAGAAAAGCCTTTGGTGCCAGCTGAGGACTGGCAAGCCTGGCCATGCTGCCTGGCAGTGTCCAGGCTCCAACTCCCTTTCTCAGGAAAGACGTCAGACGGCCGAGCCCTTTTGGAATTTGACAGTAATTTCTGACATAAAGAGAAAAAAAGAAAACAGAAAATCAGACCACTTTGGAAAGTGGAGCTTTCTGTGTCTTAAAAGAAAATACTCCAGCAGCTTGGGGATGCAACTCTGTGGGGAGAGTGCTTGCTTAGCACACACCAGACCCTGGGTTCAAACCCAACAGTCCATAAAATTGAGCAAGGTAGAGGCAGGAAGATAAAAAATTCAAGGTCCCCTTCAGTTATGTGAGCCAAGTTGGATACAAGGGACTTTTTTTTTTTTTTTTTTTTTTTTTTTTTTTTTTGAGAGCCTTGACTGGCTTAGAGTTTGCTTTGTAGACCATGGTAGTCTTGAACTCTATATCCACAGTACTGGCATTAAATACATGTGCCACCATGTCCAGCTGTGACTTTGTTTAAAAATATATACATATATATATTCATATATGTGTGTATATATATATTCTTCACATGCTAGAGAGACGGCTCAGCCATTAAGAGTGCTTTCTGCTCTTCCAAAGGACCCGGGTTCAGTTCCCAGCACTCACATGGCAGCTCACAACCATCTGTAATTCCAGAGTTAGGCGATCACACACCCTCGCATCTGTGGACCCTGAACATAGGTGGTACACATACAGTCACACAGGCTCACTCAAATGTACATAAATAATGAACAACTGAACTTTTTAAAAGTCCGACCGCCCAGTAGAAAAATGTTCCCCAGGCCAAACAGTACAGGGCAGTTCAGCTCAGTTTACTGTGAAGTCCCATGACAGGCCTGTTTCCAGGAATCCACTCTCTGTATCCCCCCCCCCCCCATGGCTTTCTCACCAGCCTCATGCCCACGTGAGGGTCACTTCAACAGAGTCTGTTCTTACTCTTCCCTACTGTTTCCTTGTTCCATTCTTTTCCAGCATCAAGGGTCTCTTCCATGGGTCTGGGGAGAGGGCTTCATGGGTAGAATGCTTGTTGAGAAAGCATGAGGCCCTGACCTGAGTTAGGAGCCCCACCCCTCACGTGAAAGCTGGATGCCGATGCAGCTTGCATCTGTAACTTTGGCTACAGGGTTGGTTGCCAAGAAGGCCAGAGAGGGAGAGAGACAGCAGCAGTGGCCACAGAGAGAAGCAGGAGATCCTGGGGGCTCTCTGGCCAACCAACATAGCTGCAATAGGTTCAGTAGAGAAACTGTCTCCAAAAGTAAGATGAAGGGGAGTGAGGGAAGACACCCAAAGTTGACCCTCTGGCCTCTCCATATACACATACAATGAGCACACACACACACACACACACACACACACACACACACACAGGAGAATCTCTTCCTCATATGCTATTGTAATTTACTTCTTGATGATAGCTGGTGTTTGTCTCCCTCCACAGGAATGTGGACCCTGGGAGGACAAGCTGTTTGGTCTGTCTTCACTAATCTATCTTAGGATCAGGATCTGGCACACACGAGGCCTCCAATAAAAATACATGAACCTATAATTATATATTGGATTGTCCTGTCTCCCTCTCCATCTCAGTCCCTTATAAATGCCACTAGCCTCTCTTTTTTCCAGGACCCTAGAACCTCCCCCATGGAACAGGACTTGTCTGGTGCTTACCTGCCTCGGAACCGAGGATACTGGTTGTTTGACCTTGTGTGCCTGCCAAGTTGCCAGCATGTGTGAAATGCTAAAATCCAGCTTATTGTTATTATTGATTTTGAGAGCTATGATAAGAGGGTAAAAGGAGAGCAAACAAGGAGAAGGAGGGGACAAGTGGATGGACAATCAGAGTGGAGAAATAAACACACTCACAGCTTCCCGGGGTCCCAGCTCTGTTGTCTTTCCTTGTAGTGCTCAGAGTAGCAGCCAGCAGCAAGCCAGGGCTATGTGCCACGTACCATGAGCTGTTAGCCACGTGGCAGAAACAGGCCTGTTGAATCATGGAACGCTCAGCTTCTACTGGCTTGTAGAGTTTGGTGCGTTTTGCTTTTTACAGTCCAGCTGTCTGTAATGATTTCCTTCCCAAGGCCGTGTTCACCAAAGTGTCCCTGGGTGACTAGCTGAGTCACTGCATTCCTTGCTGTTTAGGACACGGGCCCAAACACTGAGAACCGGTTCTTTCATGGAGGTGGAAACTGTGGGTTGCCAAAGAGTGCCCAGGGAAGACAGAACAAAGAACTCCATCTCGAACTTGCACCCTTCCCCAGAAGTATAATTTAGAACACAAGTACAAATAAGCAAGAAATTTCATTTGCTAAATCACCAGGGAATGGCCACAGCCTGAAGGATTGTTTGTCAGAGACCACAAGGCCAGTGCCAAATTGAAATGGGTGGGACATACCGGAAACCAAGGTCCATCCCTTAGTTGCAGTATGAAACTCAAATATAGAGAACTCTTCAGTCACCTGGTGGAGCTACCAACATTTGCAGTCCCTCTGGGACATCCGATCAGTTCTCTCAGCTGGGTAGTGGGGGTGCACATCTTTGATCCCAGCGCTTGGGAGGCAAAAGCAGGCAGATCTCTGAGTTTGAGGTCAGCCTGGTCTCCACAGCCAATTTCAGGACAGCCATGGTTACACAGAAAAACCCTGTGTGTGGGGGGAAATAATCAATCAGTCAAGAGTCAGTTCTTCGAAAAAATCAAATATGCACAGGGCTTGTAGTGTTTGTGGCGGTCTTACTTCTGGGGTGATCTCGGAGAAAGTTTACTCAGATCTGTATGAAGGAAATAGGGAGATTATAGTGTTGTTGATGGGAGGGGGAATTTGGAACAAAAGGAACCATGGGGATTGAGTAAGCAAAATACTGTAGATGTCTGTTGTTTCTTTAATTGTCAACTTGACACAACTTAGTATCTCCTGGGAAGAGAATCTTGATGAGCGATTGTCTACATTTGGTTATCCGTCTGGTCGTATCTGTGAGTGTTGTCTTCCTTTACTTAATTGATATTGGAAGACTTAGCCTGCTGTGGGTGGCACCATTCCCTAGGGAAAGGACTAGGGACAGTGTAAGACCAGGGAAGTCTAGCGAAGCACGAGCAAGCAAATGGGCATGAACTCATTGATTTCTTTTTGCTTTTGACTGGATGTAATATGACTAGCTGTTTAATTAGCTACCTTGACTTCCCCACAACAATGGGCTATAACCTGAAATTTTAAGTGGAAAAAGAAAAAAACTATGTTGCTTTTTGTCAGGGTATTTTATCACCGCAACATAAATGAAACTAGAACATATGCCTTGAAATTCTGCATGGTAATAGAAAAACAAAACAAATCAAAACAAAATGAAACCCATATATTAGCTGTATTTAACACAGCATCCAAGGAGCTCACAGAGTTAAAGTAGGGTAAAGAGTAAAAGAGATTTTAAAATAATGTTTATCAAGGTACAATTAATGTACAGTAAACTGCACATATTTAAAACGTTCAATTTGAGTTTTAACATGGGTATGCAAGACCATGATTAGGATGATGGCTGTATTCATTGTGTCTCAAAATAGGAAATAAAGCTGGGCAGCTGTGACACATACCTTTAATCCCAGCTCTTGGAAGGCAGAGGCAGGGGGATCTCTATGAGTTCATGGCCAGCCTGGTATACACAGCGAGTTCCAGGACAGCCAAGGCTATACAAAGAAACCCTGTGTCAAAAAAACAAAACAAAAACACAAACCAAAAACAAACAACCAAACAAAACCCAAAAGGCCACATATATATGTCTTTACATATATATATATATATGAAAGTGAGCAAATGTCTACTGTCAATTTTTAAAAAGTTAAACAGTATATTTACACATACAGTATATGTACTTTAACCCCATTATTATTAAAATAAACAATGTTTGGACACCCTGAAAAGAATCAGAAAGAATAACTACTGTGGTGATTTGAATAAGAATGGACCTCATAGACTCATAAATGAATGCTTAGTCACCAGGGAGTGGAACTGTATGAAAGATTAGAAGGATTAGGACCTTGTTGGAGGAAGTGTGTTACTGGGAAAGGGCTTTGAGCTTTCAAAAGCCCACACCAGGTCCAGGTTCTCTCTCTGCCTATAGATCAGAATATAAAGTTCTCAGCTTCAGGGCCATGCCTGCCTGCATGCCTCCACGCTCTCTGCCATGATGATAATGCACTAAGCCACTGAACTGTAAGCAAGCTCTCAATTACATGATTTCCTTGTTTGGCTCAACATTCTTTGTGAGAGTCGTGTGTGTGTGTGTGTGTGTGTGTGTGTGTGTGTGTGTGTGTGTGAGAGAGAGAGAGAGAGAGAGAGAGTATGCATGTGGTGGTCAGAGGTCCACCACATGGGTGGGTGGGTGTTGTCCCTTAGAAGCTGTCTACGGTGTTTCTTGAAGCAGGGTGTCTCTAACTTGCCTGGGGTTCACTGATTAAGCTGTGGTGGATGGCTAGTGAGCCCTAGAGATCTGCCCCGCCTCTGCCTCTCCACTGGTGGGATTACAAGTGTGAGCCACCATCCCTGGCTTTTTAACCAGCTTCTCTGGATTGAATTTAAGACCTCATGCTTGCACAGCAAGCACCTTCGATACTGAGCTGTCCCACCAATCCCTCATTACGAGATTCTTCCATGTTATATCATCTGTGGGTCTTTCATGGCCAAGTTCTTTCTGAACAGAAAGCTCAGCTTCAGTTTTGTAACCTTGTTGCCCACAGAAAAGCCACATAACACTTTCTACAGCCTGATTACTGTCTCCTTACACATGTGTTATTTTCAGGACTTACAAATTATTCTTGAGTCTCTCAGCCATTTTGGGACCACCTCTGTACTCAGAAGGCAGATCCAATCATTAAGAACTATAAAGGAAGATGGCTACCCTGGATCACCACATATCTTCCAAAAAGAAGGCCTACTCTCAAAGATTCTAGGTTCTCTAGCCCATGGTTTAGATTTTGAAAAATAATATTTTGTGCATGACTGCTTGCCGGTGTGTATCATGCATGTGTGGAGTGTCCTCAGGAGCAGAGGAGAGCATAGGAGTTTCTGAAACTGGAGTTACAGATGGTTGTGAGCTCTTGTGTGGGTGCTGAGAACAGAAGCCAGATCCTCTGGAAGAGCAACCAGTGCTCTTAAAGGGTGAGACATATATCCAACCTTTATTTTTATTTTTAATTAAGTGTTTAGGTAAATGAGTTTGTGGGTTTGTCCACATGGATGTAGTTCCTCAATCGGCCAGAAGAGGGTGCCAGATTCCCTGGAGCTGGAATTACCAGCAATTGTGGTTGGCCTGACATGGGTGCTGGGAACTGAACTTGGGTTTTCTGCAAGAGCAGTACTAGCTGTTAACTAGTACTAGCTAAGCCATCTCTCCACACCCCTTACTGTAATGTGTGTGTGTGTGTGTGTGTGTGTGTGTGTGTGTGTGTGTGTGTGT